CACACACACACACACACACACACACACACACACACACACACACACACACACACACACACACACAGATACACACACACACACACATATATTCATGCGCTTTCCCCCCCCTTTTCTATCAATCAATCAATGAAGAGGCAACTAAGGAGGAGTCGTGAAAACAGTTTGAAAACACAGTTCGGGCCAAAAAGAGTTTCAAATTGAACTTTTAGGCAATGTATACAAGCCATCTTTTGGTCAGATAAGGTGCCCGAAGTGCAATTTGAAACTCGTTTTGGTCGGAACTGTAACTTCAAACTGTTTTTGTGACTCCCACGTCTATACCCCATCAATCAATTAATCAATCAACCAACCAATCACAATCAATCAATCAATCAATCAATCAATCAATCAATCAATCAATCAATCAATCAATCAATCAATCAATCAACCAACCAATCACAATCAATCAATCAATCAATCAATCAATCAATCACTTAATCAATCAATCAGTGAATCAGTGTTCGTGTGTCTCAAAACCAAAATAAAAGAAAAAGACGTTTTTGGGTTGTTTTGGTGTTTTATTTATATCGTTTTTTCTTTTTATCTTTGCATCTGTCTAATTAATAAAAGAAACATGCGCACCATGTTTATCCCACCAGCAATCAGAAAAAAGCTAGGCTACGAGTTGTTCGATGGCAAGTCGTCCTGGGCGGACAGTCAGGGGGGTTCCGGACGTCCGGGCCCGGACAACTTTATTTTTAGCAATTAAAAGCACGAAAAAAGGGGAAAAAAAAGGGGTTTTATTTTTATTTTATTTTTTATTTTAACATTGGTAGCGAATTTTGATATGATTCCAAGGCAAAAGTTGTTAAGTTTATTTTTCTGTATAACATACTTTTGTTTTAGATTTTTCTGAGGAACTTTTTTTTTTTTTTTTTTTTTTTTGTTCCGGGCTCGGATGGACTGCCCGGGTAGGACATCCGACCAGTTGTCCGATCGGACAACCCCGGATGGTCAGGGGGGTCCCGGACGTTCGATCAGGTAACCAAGGAAAAAATATGAGGTAAAAAAAATCCCTTTTTTATTTTTCTTTTGATTAGAGTACTTTGCAACGAACCCAATCAAACGAGAAGCTCGTCAATGTTGAAATAAAAGATATCAATGTCTCTTAAATCGTTCTTGAAAACCATACTCATTATCCACGTGGCATCCCACTGTCCTGTGCTCAAAGAAGAAGGAGAGGAAAGAGGGAGAGGAGACTCAGAGGGTGAGAGAGAGAGAGTTTCCACCATCATCCTTGAGCAGATACACTCGCTGCCCACTTCCTCTTCAAGCGTTGCCTCCCAACTCACCACGTCAGCAACAGTTTCTCCCTGGTGATCTTGACAATAAGCAGGTTATGACATTGCAACCATCCTTCAACCACATCACAATCACTTAAGCACAGTGTCAACATGATCAACGGGTAACCTTCCCTTCCTCTATCGAACCAGTCTCACAGCCATGATCCCTCATCCTCTTTGCGTATCCCATCAATGTTGGAATCAGTGTGGCCGCAGCCACATGAGCATAGTCAAGTGCACAGCTGGCACCTAAGACAGAG